TAAAACAATAATATATAATATAATCAAATATTATATATATATTACTCACACAACTTTTTATCTTTCTAAAATAAACATTTTTAATAATAATAATTTTTTATTACATATCCGCGTCCGCCGCGACTTCGAAAATTGCGTCTACGAAGTCTGTTCCAGGCCGCTCGGCTTCTTCCGGCACTGGTCCCTCTTTTTGCTGCAAAAGAAATATATGTTTGAATGTATTTATCTATTATTTATGAATGTATTATTGTAATACATATATCTCTCTCATACTATACGTCTCTCACTCTCTCTCTCACTCTCTCTTTCTCTCTCTTTTTCTCTCTCTCTCTCTCTCTCTCTCTCTCAAACTTTCTCTTTCTTTCCATCTCTCAATATTTTGTATTTTTCTTCAAGAATGTTTTGTACTTGTCCGTTTTTCCGCTTCTTTTTCTTCTTTATTTGTATCTGTAAAAAAAGAATACATATATGATACATATGTACAAATATATATACAGGGTGTCCCAGAATTGCCGTAAAATCTCTCGTAGGCAGGTAGAAGGAGTAAAACTGAGTCGAAAAGTCCTGAACCATTTTTTTCTATTATTATAATAAAAGAGTAATTATTGAATAAATCAGGCCAATCAGCGCCGACCTTTAGCTAGGTGCACGTCAGTGAGCCGCGCGCCTGGTGTGTGTAAGCGCTCACTGACGTGCGCCTAGCTAAAGATCGGCGCTGATTGGCTTGATTTACTCTCAATAATTACTCCTTTATTATAAATAATTTTAAAAAATGGTTCATTTTACTTTTTCTACCTACGAAAAATTGTACGGCAATTCTGGGACACCCTGTATATATATATATATATATTTTAGTGTGTATATGTTGTGTATGTATGTTTAAAGAAAAACTCTCCTTACTTTCGTTTTTAAAAAAGAGTCCTGGCGTTTCTCCGGTATCTGAAAAAAAATACATATGTATGTTTAGGTTAGTTTAGTTAGAATTTGTGTTATGATTTGTATATGTGCAAAAAAAATCCACTTATTTTTTGGGGGGTTAATGGTCCATGCGTTTCCTTGTTGTCTGCGAAACAAATCATAATTAAAATTAATCATGTATGTAGGCATACATACATATATATATTTAAGCATATATAGTTAAAGGAAAATGTACTTACTTATGTTTGTTGAGTATGTCTCTTTTAATTTATCAATTTTTTCTTTTAACATTTTAATAGTGTTATATAATTTTTTGTTTTCTTGTTTTACGTTTTTATTTTCTTGTACGAGTGCCGTGTGCTCTAAGTTTTCCAAATCTTTTTCTAAAAAATCCATTAAGTTGTCTGAAGTTGCCATACTAAAACCAAGAATATATAAGAAAGTTTACGTTTTAAATATACCTTTTCAAAAAAAGGTAAAAAAAAGCGCCAAGTATACGCATAATACGTATTGGATTCTAGTTACTAATACTACAAAAAATTCTTCCTTAAAAATAAACCTGTTTTACAAAAGAAGTGATATCAAAAAGAAGCACCAAGTAAACTTTTGGTCGTTATTATATAAAAAACCTTTAAAAACTAAAAACTAAT